ATTGGAGTAGACCGGTGGAGCAATGAAGGTGCCAGCTTTGGGGGGTATGAAAAGAGGCTCTGGTCTTGGTCGTTGCTTTGGTTTCCGTGCAAAACCATCCACTTCTTTTGGAGCAGTGCTTTCATGCTATATAAATATACATAAAAAGAAATATGCTTTGTTTCTAGCAGAGGAAAATATTTTATGTCTCAGAACCTTCCCTGCATCTCTGAAACAAGGGACCACCCTCATGTTCCTCTATTCACATAAATCTGTTCAATCTGTTAGGGACTTCAAAGGGAAAGGGAGAAGATTTTCTCCTCCTTCTGCCCTGCCTGCCACCACTATGGGGCACAGAGGACTGTGGATGAAAGAATTGACCAAGAACAGGGAGACACAACTTAAAAACGTAAACCAATCAGCTCCTCAGCCAAAGTATACTAGGGTTTTGTTTGTTGGTTCTATCAGAACTATGTCAATATTATTCTATTACTTCTGCAACATTATTAAATTACACTGCACCTTTTAAAGAGAAAAAAGAGGTTAAAGAGCTTAGATTCCTTTTTTTTAATGCATTTACTTCAAAAGCACATAAGACAAGCTGAATGGTTAGCATGATTCCAAGTTTTATACAGCATGGCCGTACAACTCTGACGAGCATGAAATTAGCAAATGTGAAATTAGCAAAACAGCATTATAGGTAGTCCTCAACTTACGACCGGTCATTCAACGACCAATCAAAGTTACGATGACCTCAGAAAAGGTGCTTTGTGGCCCATAAAGCACTTCCGGCTGTCATAAAGCATTGTGCCGCCGCCACCCCCAGTCACATGACTGCATTTTGGGCACTTGGCAACTGCCTCGCATTATGACTGATTGCCAAGCACCCTGGGATCATGTGATCGCCATTTGCAATCTTCTGTGCCGGCTTCCCCAGAAAGTCAATGGGGAAGCCAGCAGGGAAGGTTGCAAGCAGAGAAGATGGAGAGGAGCTGAAATCTTCAGGATTTGAACTCTGTTTCTGCAGCCCCACAAAGGATTTCCCCTCCGTTCACGGAGAGGAGGGGAAATCCCTTGGTGGGTTGTAGGAACAGAACTCAAATCCTGAAGATTTCAGCTCTGTTCCTGCAGCCCCACAAAGGATTTCACCTCCGTGCACAGATTTCAGCTCTGTCTGGCAGACACCTCTTTTGTTCTCAAGTAGCTGCCTGCTGGGAGGATTCCAGCTCTGCTCGGAACTGAAATCCTTCAGCAGGCAGCTCTTTTGCTCCATCCACTTAACAACCTAGAATATCACTTAACGACTGCAACCAGGAGTGCCCAGGTTGCAGTCATTGAGCAAAGCAGTCATGTGAGCATCTCACTTAATGACCACTTTGCTCAATGATCGAGATTCCGATCCCAATTGTGGTTGTTAAGTGAGGACTACCTGTATCTGAATTAAATTAATGAAAAAGTGAAGGCATCCATTTTGGATAATGTTCATGGATAATTTTTATCCAGCCCCCTCTTCTTCTTGGAAACTGTATCTTCTTAGTAATATACAGCTAAGAAAGCTATTATCTTCCATCCAAAGTTAAGTAATACAATGGGAGTAAAGTTGACTAGGATTATTCCATGTATATAAAATACATTTACTGTATGGTAGAAAGAGCTTTAATAGAAGATCACATAGTGTGACTTCTTTCTACTTGGGAAGAAACTTTGAAAAACAGATGTAGTTGTTATTCACCCCTATTTATCATTTATGATTCTTTTTACATGGAAATGCTTCAGTGTCTACAACATATAACATTTGATGTAGTCAAAAAAGCATGCAGAAAATAAAGTGTGTGTAAAATTCAAGCAAAATCCACATATCATTGAAATGCAAACCATCCAGCACATGGAACTTCTATCCTCAAAGAGTACTCCCCTTGGTCCTTTCTTGCTTCCTTTTTCCTTAGAGGAAGAAACTAGAGGAACTATTCTGTTACTAAGTCAACACAGCCTTGAAAACTAAACACTAGGCAACAGTAAGAATCTATTGTAACTTCTGAACCAGGCCAAAATAATCATCTACAGCCTAGGACCCTCCAAGTAAGTTTAAGTTGCCTCAGCCAACGGCTAGAAGCACCACGTTCACAGAAACATAGAGCTGGAAGGAAGAATTTAGGCCAGTGAATCCAACCTCTTGCTTCACACATGAAACCGAAGCAAACTGACTATGACCCTCAGCTGTTCAGCTTCTATCTGCACATATTCAGTGAAGGGCAGCCCACCAACCTCTTTAGTCACTGGCTCCACAGTTAAAGCACTCAACTTGTTTCCTAAAATTCAGCCAGAATCCGCCTTGGGAAGGCTGACTGTTTGACATAAAAGGAGTGAAATGTACAAAGGAAGACTGGCATCTCTAGCTCAGAGGATTCATACAGCCCCAAGATCTACCTGAGCCGACATGTCCATATTCAAATTGCGATTGGACCTCCTCCGGGTGACGATTACAGAAGGCTTGCTGTCTGCAATGCCATGATCGTTAGCCAGAAACCGCTGCTGCTTCCCATCCTCGCCCTTTTCCCTGGCGATATCTTGAGCATCCAGCTTCCTCACTGGCACAGACACGGGAATAATGAGAGGCACGTGGCTGTTATCCTCCCGGGCTCTCTTTGGGGCTGGGGAAGAGCTGGCAAATTCTACAACGCTCCTTGGTGCAGCAGCTGCTGCCTCACTCTTGTTTTTTTCTTCTGACATTTCAGGTTCCTTAAATCAAAGAAAAGCATGTGCACATTAAGGCATTTGATCTTTGAAAATGACACACTGAAAATTGATATTGTCTCCTTCCAGCGAGAAAGGGAAGGGTAAATAGACCTTCATTTCAATAGCTAACTTCACATACTGTACCAAGCCATGGTTTGTTTTAACCATGATGTTGAAAAAACAGTTGTGCTTCACTAATAAAGTTAAGTCATAAACCATGTCTTACAAACCACAATGGCTGACATATCAAGCTAAGCCAAAAACAAATCACATCATGGACAGTGCGCTTTACCAATGCAGACAAGAGCTAGAGATGGGGACATCAGCCTTCAAACAATAAAACAAAGTCAAAAAGAAATTACTGTTCAGAAACATAGAGTTAAAAACTGCAAAGATAAAAAGTTGAACATATCCATCTGTAATATAAAATACAGGCACTCAGTCCTAATTTTCCTTCAGCCAACTGGGTATATATTTCTTAACATTTATACTGTTTCTCACTTATATACCATGGTCTGATAACATTTTTTTTCAAAACAGCTTCCAAAATTAGTTACAGAAATAAAATCACAACAAACCATACTAAAATATCAGAAGGCATAAGAACCAAATCAATTTCCAGTTAATTTGTGTTTTGTTTTGTTCTCCGTTCATCACTTCGGGAATGGAAAGGTGGGTATTTGAATCCTGTAAATAAAAAAGGCCCCTTCTCTTTAAGTTCACTGGCGATAGACAGTCTTTTCATAAAGAGGGGAAACCTGGGTGTATTAGTTCCAAAATGACCTTCATTCCTACCTTCCACTTATGGAATATTTCTCATAGGGCTGCTGGCAGTAGATGGCACTGTGGAAGGCATAGGAACTTGGATGTGCATTTAGACTCTCCTTCCCTGGATGTCCTCCAGATATTCTTTAGATGTACTGAAGTGCCTCGTTTTAGGGAAGGGTGGCACAGACAAATGTCAATAGTACATAATGGGTAGTATCTGGTGTTTTCCATGTGAAGATTAACCCATAAGCACCCCTTTGTATATAATGACACACATCCAACATCAGGATGACCCATGCTTTGATCTGGATCTAACTATATTATGAATAACTTTCAAAGCAGCTTCCAAAATTTTACAACCATCCACCCAACATGCCTAAAATAAAATGGTTTCTTCTCCAGTATTTAGTTTGAAATTATCTTAAAGCCTGGCTTAATTTGTCAGGCAAGTAATCAATTTTACAAGTATACACCCAAGCCTCAAGCTTACGCGGCACTTTATCCTTTTATTCCTCCAACAAAAGGAGGTGGCCAGAAACTTCCAATGACTTTTAACAGCTAACCAGCTGTTGAGTGAACCTGGCCAACACTGGTGTGCAGGAATAATTTTACTTTGAAATTACCTTTCTAGAAAAGAAATCATTCTACAGTGGAAACAAAATCATTATTTTATGCATAATTGGGTGAATGTGCACAAACTTTTAGAATACTATATTGGGGAATTATTCATAATGCAATATAGATCAAAGAGTAAGATGTACTGTTATGTAGTGCACTGATGCCACACATAATGGGATACCCAAGTATTCCTCTTATTGCATCTAAACATCAAATGAAACCAACATGGTACTTTCTACATCTCTCTACACCATTCTTCTCAATCTGCTGTACTCAACAATTATGAAAGATGACTCCCATAATTTCCTATTAGCATGGCCAAGATATTTTGGGAATGGCTAGTACAATATAAGCAATCTTCAACCCCAAAAGGAGCATCACAGATGAGTTATATATTATACATAGCCTGAGTTGTGTATCTTTTTCTTCCTTTATAGGTATATATCCTGTGTGCTGGAGATCATCTAGACCCAACATGGAACATAACCACAAATATGGCAGCTGCCTGTAAGCCTCTATATTATTAAAGAAAAAGTCTAACAAATCTTTAAACAGTAGCAAGAAAAACTGAGCTGTCATGGTTCCAAAGACCTGCTGGTTAATTTTAAGGAAAAGTAGTGAAACCAATCAAATTACTAATGTATTTTTGAGAAAAGTGGTCTTACTTCTAAAGTCAACAGAATATTGGTATATGTTACTCTGTTTTGGTAGTCTGCTATCCATAGCTTAACTATTTAAACTTCAAAAAGTGAGTGTATAAAAAAGGAGTTTTAGAAGCATTTCAAGTTTCAAATAAAATGAAAAATACGTTATCTCAGGTTCCTGGGAAACCTCAACTGAACAGTTTCTCCAAACTGTTTGGCACTTGTTCCTATGTAATTTTAAGCAGGTTTTTGGGCAAATGGACAAAGAAAAAAAAAGATGGAATGTGGGAGTAGGGTAAACATTAGAAAAAGCAAAGAAAAAGTCAGAAAGAAAATAATTTTTTTTAAAAAGCTGGGTGGGCACCCCAATATGGCAAAAGACAGTGTAAACTTTCAATAAAGTTTCATCAAGCAATTTGCTTAAAATATTCAAAAAGAAAAAGAGACAGGAAGAGGGAATGCAACTGGTACTCTGGCTACAACTAAACACAAAGCCCAAGATCATTATAGGGGAGATTATTATTTTTTTTTTGGTGCCTTCGAGTCAGTATTGACCCCTGTCGATGGCTTAGACTAGTCCCTGCAGTTTGCTTGGCAAGGTTTTTCAGAAGTGGTTTGCCATTGCCTGCTTCCTAGGACTGAGAGAGAGTGACCGACCCAAGGTCATCCAGTTGGCTTTGTGCCTAAAGTGGGACTAGAACTCATAGTCCCTGGTTTCTAGCCAGGTGCATAACCATACCACGAAACTGGCTCTCATAGGGAAGAATAGTAATGGATATTATGTGTTTTTATTATCATAAAAATTAAGACCACAAGGTTGGGAGGTTGTCAATTATATAATGGACTGAAGAAGTTACTTCTGCATTTTATCACTGAAAATCACAACTGGAGGACTAGTTAGAAATTTGGAGAGCATGCAACAACTTAATTTCCCATTCTTCCTATTGCTAAGAAAACTGACTTATATGCTAATATTTATTCATGACAGGAATATATGAAAAACATTTTTAATTAATATATGAGATTTATATGCTTTTCTTAAGATTTTTTCCCTCCCCTCTTTTTTCTCTTCTTTTCTTTCCGGATATTAAAGAAATCGTAAATAGTTCTCTTTTTTAAAAAATACACAATCCAGTGGTTAAATCAAATCTTTTTCCATTTTAGGTGAAAAAAATAAATCTCTTGACCCATGGCAAAAAGAAAAGAGATAACAAGGCTACAATAGTGCCATATCTGGAAATAACTTTAGGTATTGCGCTACATTAAAAAAGAGTCAACTGAAGCTCAAAAGATACAGAACATCAGAGGTAAAAGGGATGCCAGACTTCTGCAGAATCAAATGCAGGTTTAGCGAGGGGTGAGAAGGACCAGGTAACATGTTCTTATATGCCATTACAGCACTAGAACTCATGCGATTTGTCTAATCATTGCATCAACCTGTTATTTGAAGGGAATTGCAGGAGTTATTTGAAGGGAATTTGCAGGACAGAGAAAAATGGTCTTAAAGTTATAGGAAGGTAGATTCCGTCTGAGAATTAAGAAAAATCCTTATGATCAAAACAGTTGAGTGGTGGAACCACTGATCTATAGAGGTGACTTGCTTTCTATTGCTGGATGACTAACTGTTGGGAATGAACAGGGGACTGGACTTCACGGCTTAAGCGGCCCATTCCCACTTAATGATTCTGGGCCTCCTAGTCCCTTATTCATCTGTAGACTAATATTCAAAAATTCTTAGCATGGTAGAAAATATGGACCACTGGTTAATCCAAGATGAAGTCAATTTGTTGCCATCTGACTGACAAGTATACAGTCTAAACCCCCAAAAGCATTAGCTGGATTACTCACAGGTTTTCAATTCTATCTTCCAAATGTGCTTTCTTTCCATTTATAAAGGTAAATGTTGTAACTGGTGACTTGACCAAAGGCAAGGGAGAGAGAACAGAAAGACTTCTCTCAGGCAGCAATTTATTCTTGATTTGACTGTCCATTTCTATTCTGTAGAAAGGGATAGACCTGTGTTTTTCAAACTTGGCACCTTTAAGATGTGTGGACTTCATCTCCCAGAATTCCCCAGCCAGCATGTTGGCTGGGGAACTCTGGGAGTTGAAGTCCACACATCTTAAAGGTGCCAAGTATGAAAAACACTGGGACAGACAAACTATCCTTGTTGATTTGAGGATAAGCATGTATTTTCTCTCCTCCTTCAATTGTCAGAAATATGTGAGGAAAACAACAAACAAGCCTCTGAAAATGAGATGAAAAGTTGTGAACATACATCTCTGAAAAAGACAAAGAGATCAGCAACAGAGCTTCTTCCAACACTTCAGGAAATGAAGAAAAGTAACAGCCACAGAACAAGTCAAGAAACGTCACTTACCCTGACGTTCTGAAGAGAAGCCAACTCCACAGCTTTCTGAGCCAGAGTTAAGAGGTTGGCTTCTTGAGAAATACGCCGTCTCCTCCGGGTGCTCTGGATGACTCCTCCTCTAACTGCGCCAAAGTCATTCGTTCTCAGACCAATGCCATCAGTGGCAGCCACCTGTTTTTCTGCTTCTTGGGCATTCTCATACATGCCCACCGTCTCCATGTCAGGCTGACTTGGCTGACTCCCCAATGGCATGTCCCCATGTTCCAGTTCTGCTCTACTTAGTTGGGAATAACTTTCCTTGTGACTGAACATTTCAGACTGAGGTCGGAACTGGACTTCAGGGTGCTGCTGCGACTGCCAGGGATGAGGTGGCAAGATGCTCCCAGGGTAATCCTCAGCTGCCTTAGAGGCCAATGCTCCTTCTCCAGAAGGTACTGGTGGGACGCCTTCCTTAGAGAGCCTGCGTGATCTCCTTGGGAGATTTATCTGTGCCTGTGGTAGCACCGCCTGGGGGTTCTGCTCTGTCAGAGCCTTCAGCAGCTCCTGGTTCCTCTCAGAAACTGGGTGGAACTGATGGGAAACCATATGATGCTGAACAGGCTGAGGTGGTGCTCCCAGATGCTGCTGTGCTACAGAAGCTGACGGCTGAAGGCCAAAGGTCTGCACTCCTGCCTGCTGATGGTGGTGATGGTGTTGCTGCTGCTGTTGTGAGTAATAGTTTTCAAACAGCTGCAACTGTGGAAGAGCCTGCTGTTTCTGCTGAGCAGTAAAAGCTGGGCTGGAAGATGTGGGAGCCTGCTGAAGAACATGCAAAAGCTCAGGAAGACCCTGCTTCTGGCCCTGCTGACCAAAGGCCAGCTGGAAAGGTTGCAAAGAGAGGCTTTGATTTTGCTGCTGCTGCTGCTGCTGCATTTGCTGAAAAGAACTCATCTGGGCCTGTTGTTGCCTGACCAACGCCTGCTGTTCCAACTGGGCTTTCTGGGATATCATCTGCTGGACAGCACCTCCATACAACTCCAGCTGTGACACCACCACCCCTTTCTCCCTGTTTTTTTTCAGGGCATCTGGGTGGCCATAGTAATCTGCGATGCTGGCATTAGGATGTCCTCCTTTCTGGTTGCCACCATAAACCATCCCATGGTTCCATCCTCCAGGCTGAGGTTGCCAATTTGCCTCACTTCGCTCAGGCAATCGATTTCCCATTAAGGAGCTGTGCCACTTGGCAGCAGTCAGCTGCTGGGGTGTCATCCTCACCTCACCTCTGTCCTGATACATTGAATTCAGCAATGCAGCATTGCTGGGAACGCTACTGAAAACCCCAGGTTTGGTCAGCTCCATGGACTGGGTGCATGGAGGGTGCACATTCCCTCCGTGACCGTAATACTGTCCTTCTTTTAGCTGCTGCTGCTGCTGTTGGTGGGCTTCTTTCAAAAGAGCATCTTGCTCGCTAAAAAATGCAACCCGCTTTCCAGCTCTTTTGTTTGAAGACTTTGGCTGAGCCTGAAGACTCATGATTCAGTGCGTGTTAAAGTCAGATCAGCAACCAACCCATCTCAAATGCAAGAGCAGAACGGGAAGGAGAAAGTGTGAAGCCAACACAAGGCTCTCCTCCTGCATCAGTCTAATCCATACAGAGTTGGAAGGGGTGGATCTCAGTTTGTAGTTTAAAAGGAAGCCAAGTTCCAATGGTTTCACCCCCTGAAACAGAAATAAGCAGTGTTAATAGAAAAATTGCAACTAAGATCTGATATGTGAAGCTTTCTAAAGTTGGGCAACTATTTCTTGTAACATATCCAAAAAGGCTTAGATTTTTTAGATCTATTTAAGGCACAGCAATATACAGGTAGTTCTGCTTTAGTGACCATAACTGGGACTAGCAACGTGGTTGTTAAGTGAAGCGGTCACTAAGTGAAACTGTGACTGTGCTTATGATTTTACTTCAGCTTTCCTTTGCTTTACAGACCTGAGGAGGTCAAAAATGCGAGGATTGGTTGCAAAGTTACTTTTTCATCACCACTGTAACTGCAAACGGTCACAGTACAAGGTAGTCACTAAATGAGAACTACCTGAGTACTGCGCTCAGAGAAGTTAAAAAGATGGATTTGTTCACTGCACTAAGGCATAACCTTTTTAAAAACATGGCTTCTTAAACCACTACTGCACAAAGGGTTCCACATGATGCCATTTCATGTGGAAGACACTGCATGTACAGTTCTACATATCAAGGCTTTCCACTGCAGAGAATGGAACTTTATTTATGGACAACCAATTGATGTCACTTATTTACAGATGTCACCACTGCTCACAGGTATTACACTGGTTTAGAGCAGAACTTCACAGTAGCCTGGCGCATACTTAATGCTAAACCCAAAGCACTGACCCAAGGCAGGCAAACCATGAGCCTCATGCAATTCCCAAATTACTTTCTACAATATCTAGAACGCCCAGGATTGCATTGCTAAAATTCAGTGACAAATCATGGATAATTGATAGTATGACTTTTTCCCCACATCTTTTTCAGCAGAAAAGCAACAAAATTAGGTATCTTAAATCCATAGATAGAGTTAGTATATGAAAGCAAACAACCTATACTCAAATTCAACAAACTCAGAGGCTGAATTTATTTATTTATTAAATTTGTACACCGCCTGACTCCCAGTGACCCTTGGCAGTTCACAAAGTAAAAACACAGAAAAATAACAATAGAATACAAAAGTGAAGACAAAGGGGCATAAAAAGATGGCAAAATTAGGCAACAATGAGAAACTTATACATACTACTCAGAAGGAGTTTCAGCCACCCTAGCCAAGTCTTCAAGGCCCTTTGAAATGCCAGTAGGGTGGGAGCTACCTGGATCTCAGGGAGAACCTCATTCCAGAGGGCAGGTGCTACAACAGAGAAGGTGTGCTTCCAGGGTCCCAATAGATGACATTTTTAATGGAAGGAACCTTGACTGTGCCAACCATTGGATTGAATCAGCTGCAGATTCAATGGGAGATAGGAAGTCTCTCAAGAAACCAGACCCTAAGCCATGGATAGTCAGGGACGTTCCAGAGCACTGTTTCTCAACCTTGGCCATTTTAAGATGTGTTTAACTCTCAGAATTCCCCAACCATCATCTTCTTAATTTTTCAATCTGTTATATGTTGCACAATGCTAAAAGACAATTTTGGAACTTACATGATGCATTTTAAGCTGCTCCTAAAAGAAGGCTAAGTATTCATTGGGAGATTCAAAATGCCATGTATTATGGGCTAGGAAAACCAGTGTGTGAAAAGAGAGCAGCTGAGATCCTGCTTTCTGGGAACTTCTGTTCTCATGCATGGGTCTTATTTGACCAACATGATGGAAGCTTCTAGCTATATTCTCTGGCCTCTTTCCAAAGTAAGCAGCTTCCATTCATAATACTTTTCAAATATAGAGATTACTATCAATGCAATAAAAAAAGCATGAGTATTAAAACTACCGATTAAGACCCGGCCCAAACACCTTCATAGAGGGGCACCATGTGCAAACAGCAGAAGAGATCAACACTGGCCAAAAGAGAGAACTATTGAGCTGAAGGCATACGGAGAAGTCCACTTTATTTTTCGCAACTTGACAATGTAGAAAGTGCCAATAGGGTCTTTCCACCTTCTAAATTGTCTCCACTCCCAAATAATCACTAACACTTTGCTAAATGTTGCGCACACATATTAAGGTTAATTAAAAGTAATACCAACTGTAATAAGAATGACTTGATAAAACAACTTGGATCTGGCCTCTTTTTAACACACACAAGGCCACATAAGGAAAACTGATTGTAATGCAACTGTCTATTGCTTCTATACAAACGAAGGTTGTGTAAAAGGCTTCCCTTTGCAAAGGCAAATAACCACATCAAAAGGAAGAATGGATGAGTTGTGCGAAGAGAAATATAGAAGGAACACATTTGAAAAGCCTACTTTAATATAATCTTTGGAGTCATCTTAGAGCACAGTGCTGACTCAGTTTACCTCCACCATATGTAAACACAGAACACAAGACTTCTAAAAAAAAATGAGCCTCTCTAATATTTCTGGAAGAATCAAAGGTATGAGGAAAATACTGTTAGAGAACACAACTGAAAGAATACAACTACAATATCAATGTGTGATATTAAAGTATATGCCATTGGCTACACAGCACACTGGGCCTGCATCAGTAGATTTAAGCAGGCATCTGATGGATTTATCTATACAGTCATTTCATTTTCCCACAAACTCTAAGAATAAAAATGTATTTCTCCTTCAACTGCTCTTAGCAGGTCTTCCCAAATTTGTGACAGTTAAGGCATCCACCTGAAGAAAAAGGAGGGAAGAGAATGAAGGAAGTGCAGGAAATCTTCTGCAGCATCTGCCTCCCAGGGCCAGGCCACCTCTACTTCCTTGCACGTGGATCACAGGCATGTCACTGACTCACTTCCTCCTCTGCTTACCCTTGGTGAACCCTCCCTCCTTCTCCACGCTGGCTGCAAGCAGGGGAGCCCTGCAACCCAGCATTAGCATGCTAGGGCATTCCTTCACCGAGGCTGAAAAGCTCTCAGCTTGGGAGCTCAAAAATATCTGAGAGAGAGAGAGAGACCGACCCTCTGGGGTGGAAAATATCTGCTTCAAATGCAATTGATACTTGCATTTAGTCTACAGTATTTGCACGAATGAAACACTAGCTGGAGAAAGCGCCACGCGACCATTCGCCTCTCCAGGCTGGGAAAGGACCCCATTTTGGCAAAAGCAAGAAGTTCTGTTTGCGTATTACTTATTGACAAGTTGTACCGAGGCCACAGTGCTGACAGGACACGAGGCTACAGCTTTTTCTCAGAAGGAACAAAATAAGACGTGTCATATCAGAGCATGGCAAAACATTGCCACCAAACAGTAACCGTAAAAGGTATAAACCATCTTCTGCAAGTCATTCCCTTAAACCACGTCTTCCATTTCTCCTCCCCCAAGTACCAAACTCTAATTCTGCCCTCCCTCTCACTTGGAGACGAATACGTAAATGTTCCCCTCTCTGCTCTGGTTTGATTTCCCTGCCAAGCAGCAGAATCTTCTTCAGGGCTACAACCCTTTCTCGCCCACATGGAACACCTTTGTTTTCTTCTTTTCTTTTTACAACTACAGAATGTGGTTTCTAAGAATGACAGCTTTGCCCAAGCCAGCATGTTTGCAACTAAAACAAAGAACAGTCCCAGAGCAGCTGAAGGACTAATGCAGCTTTTGGGAGCCGAGGGGGGCCTCACTTCATCAGGGGCATCTTTGTAACAGTTGATCAAATATCCCTGAAAATCAATGTTTCCTTTCATTTTTTTAGTTTCTGCTCCTGAAAGTATTTGTGAAATTCTTTCCCTGAAGTTGGAACATCTCTTGAAATCATCACTGCGACCATTGTCCCTCATTATTGGTTTATCTGGTGTGGTGGTGAAGGTGTTAGCCTAGGGGTGAGGAGACCCAGGTTCAAGTCCACCCTCAGCCACAGAAGCTCATGGGGTGACTTTGAGCCAGTCACTGACTCTCAGCCCAACCTACCTCATACAGCT